GTTACGGGGGGGCGGGTTGTGGAAGTGGCAAAAACAGGCTCCATTTAAAAATATTTAAATTTTATTGTCTTAAGAAGACAAAAAGCCTTCACTTAGCCACTGCAAACAAGTCTGCAACCTCCAGTGTGTGGATCCTTACGTACTCCACAATTTCTTGCCTTTTCTTAATCACTTCCCCAGTACCTGGGTATACGAGAATTAATGAGGAAAATGTAGAACAAGTTAATTAGCTTGTTGTTAGCTCTGATGGGGGAAAGAGAAGATCTGTACTTCCTGGCCAAAGGGAGATGTAAGTTTCTGGATGGGTAAAGCTCTGACACTGTCTTTATCATTCTTTAAAAATAAAAATGAAGAGGAGACTATGACTTTTATGTTGCCCATTATGGAAAGATGTGACCAGAATAGAAAATGACCCGTCCATGCTAGGGGTAAAATAAATGGCTCAATAGAATTGCTGACTCATTCCACTGTGTAAGATATTCCATGAGTAGCTATCATGAGCTCGGCATGATACTGGCTGAAAGGGGAAGGAGAGTGGTTGGAACAATGAAGACGTGCGCCTCCTTTCTTCTAAGATTTTGGAATTTAGTAGAACACACATGCCCAAGAAACAGGAGTCTACTGGCAGAGCAACCCGGGGTCAGATGAAAAAAAAAAAAAAAAAGGCAAAACGTGTAACCTAATCCTTACGGGAATGTTGAATAGAGGTGGATAGAAAGGAAAGAGTCAATCAGAAGAGAGAGAGAGATTCTGAACTGGCTGGTTTTAAGCCTCTGACAGAAGAGGAGGACAACCTACAACTGGATGGTACTTCTGAGGCTGACATGGTTGTAAACTCATCTCAAAAGGAAAGCCAGAATACCAACTGGCTCAGGACAGCAGAAGGCTTTGGCCAGAGGTTAGGAATGACTGGGTTAGGTGAGAGGCAAGAGGGAGGACAGCCAGGGAAAGGTGCTGAATGCCTTCTGAGGTGACCCTATAGCTGATAAAACAGTGTAAGGAAGCCATTAGAAAAAGTAAGATGTGGAGATAAAGAGCCTTCCTAGAACAGAAGTACGAGCTCAGAGAAAGAACTGGTATGTTGGGGAGGGAGCATGTGGCATAGGGGGAAGGCAGTCAAAGATCAACCAACAAGTAAGAAACTGAAATCACAAAGGCTGGAAAGAACAGTCAAGAAGGTTGAAAGGCAGAAGGACAGGGCAACTAATTGAGAAGGAGATGCTGCAGGGCATATGGAGGCTTCACTGCACCTATCACAGTGAGGGGAGGGCATCTGAAATCTCTGGGTCCCTTGAGAAGCTTGACATATCACTAATGTGCTTGGCTACATAGCTTGTCCTAATCACAGCTAAAACAGAGGATGTTGGTGAAGGTTATTGCCCGACTGGGCACTTTTTCAGGCAGCTCGAATTAGTCTGCTGGAACCCAGCAGGCACAGACAGGCTCCAAGCCACCACACTATTAGTCGACGTGAAGCCAAACACAATCAAAAATGCTTTAATCATCTCACAGATAATTAGGAGGACCTAAATTTACAAAGCTAGGGTTCAAAAAAAATGAAGCAAGGTGGTGATAAAGATATTTTAACAGTACTCTGCTATCATCTATTTTTATTTTGTTGTAGATATTTAAAATATTTGCCTCTTCAATTTTAGAGGTCTGTATTTTTCCAGTTTCAAATCAGTTAGCTACACCGAGAAAGTCATAGTCCTTAGCTGCATTTATAATGTTCATTTTATTAAAATTTCAAAAAATATGCACAGCATTTTCACAAGTCTCCTTAGAGCCTTGTCATGTGTGAGATTAGCCACAGAGCCTCATCCTGAGAGTTGAGGGTCAGTTTCCAGACGTCAGGCGCCACGTTACGACTGTCACGAAGACACAATGAGCTGGTGAATGAATGGACATTCTGGGCATCTTGAGAATACTCAAATGGACTATTTCTTAAATGTGATGGAAGTCTGAGTTTTTGTAAGAAGACAAGTTCGACCACTGGTAACGGTTTCATTTCTGGAATAACGATGCACCTGAATTCACTTAAAGCACGGCATTTGATCACATCAAACCGTGTTTGTGGAGGAGATGTGTTTAGAGACCGAGTGTGTGGATAGAAAACTCGATCTTCCCTCACGAGGGCAATGTGGGTGTTCAGAAGGACCAGCGACTGGCAGCAACCTTGGCTGGAGTCACCTTCAACTCTGACCGTCGTGTAAAACAACAACTGCACCTCTGCCAGGGAGGGGATGTTGACTTCCATATTTCCATGAAGAAAGTAAACTATGTCGACCAAGGTGTTCTGGAATTTGGATGACAACTGAACTCCATTTGGCAAAAGTAAATTGGGGATTTCTGCTTTCCAATCAAGAGAAAGCTGAACCAGATCTTGCTGGAGCAAAGGATGACTAGTGTAGGCAGCGGCATCAGCCTGGGGCATCAGAACACCCAGGAGGTCATGGCATATTTGCTGACAGAGGTTTTTGTTGTAACTAAATACAGTCAGCAGCTGACTCTCTGCAGAACCCAGGAATCGAATGTGCTGCCCGCCAAAGCCAATTTGAATTTCCCGCAGCCCAGATAGAGGAAGAGCATAGAAAACGCCCATGGAGCCTGGGTGGTCATCTGACCAGATCAAAGCATATAAAGTCGAAGGAAGCAGGAGCAAACACGCTGGCTGGGGGTCGGGTTCTGTGCAGTTGGCAACAGCAAGCCAGTAAATGCCTCTGACTTCAGGCATGTCACCCAAACTTTCTGGTAGAGAACAAGCCACATGCTCAAGAAAGTCTTTTAAAGGGCATTCTTGAAGTTTCAGCATTTGATCTGGGAATTGCACGAGGGTCTGCTTAAACGCAGAGCTCCTTCTAGCATCCTCATACTCCAGGCGGACAACTGAACTTGGCAAGGAACTTGGCACCTCTGTGGCTGTAAAGCCTAGTGCTCTGTAAGGCACTGTGCTCTCTGCTGGCCTCATGGCCCTTGCCTCCTCGCTGTTGCTATTGCCAATCTGATCTGCAGGAAAAGAATGAGATTCTGATGACATCCAGTGTGACTTCAAGGGCATGTATGGGGGTAAGTGTTTCACAAATTGCAGTCTACTGATGAATGTTGTTACGTGGGGGGTGAACCCAATGGGGTCCCACAGGCTCCCCAGGTGCCTGGCTTGGCTGATCGCTTTTGTGCCTGCCTGTAGCAGGCGACTGCTGGTATCTTTATAAAGGTCTGAGAATCTGTGATAAAAATAGCCCAAACCACTGTTTCCTTCTGTCCTGATATTTATCAGTGACTCTGGGGTGCTAACTCTTTTAGAAGCTAACTCTTTCTCAGTGTGCTGCTCACTACAAAACTTCGAGGCTGGTGCACTCTGAGGAATGTCGGCGGATGTACTCTCCTCACTAGAAACACTTTCGGAGAGAATATAGCAGAGTAACTTGCTTTGCCTGGTCTGCTTGCTCCCACTATTCGTAGACATTTCTTGGGACGTATGTTGCAGCAAAGTCCAGCTGGACTCGATTCCCAAGCTGTGTTCATCTTTATGAATCATCAGCTCACTGAAATTTTCTGACTTTCCCTGAAAATATTCTGCTCTGCTGGCATTGCTTTCATTAAGAAAAGAGATTTTAGATGGACTGAGACATTGTGGATGAAAACCACCCACATACTCAGGACGACTGTATCTGTAATCACTGTCCTGCAGCACCCCGTGTGCTGAGGGCTGATCCCTTCGCTTGAAGGTTCTCTCTTGTGATGCTGAGGAGGAAGCTGCAGGGCCTGAGATGCTCCATGTCAGGGGGTCATTCTGGTGGTTTCTCTGATCCACCTCCCTCCTCTCGTCTTTGCTGGAAGTGTCAGTGACATCTTTGGGCAGCAGCGGGGCAAGACACCCTTTCTGTTCAAGATGTCAAAAAGAGTTGAAATGGGAATGTGGTAGCAGTTTTTGCAAGTTTTTTTTTTTGCAAATGAAGGTTCTTGTAGTCATTGGTTTCATTGTGTGGATTGATTCAGAGGTTAAATCAAAAGCTTAAGCCATTTATACTGATTGATACATGATTTAAAAATATATGATCTAATTCACAAATCGAACATCAATTTCCTTATTAGATAACTTATAAATTGCCAAGTATTTTTACAGAAACACCTTGTATGGAATTGATCTACAGTATCCTTTCTTGGTCTAATATTTACTCATAAATAAATCCTAAGACCTTTGGGTCAGTTTTCAAAAGGTCAAATTTAGTTGTGAAAATGAGTCACAATCATATGGCCACACGTAAAAGTTATCAGGGCATACTTAATGAAAATCAGACAGCAAGGCCAAAAGAAAATGACAAGTATTCTAAACCAAGTTGTGTTTCTCTTGCCTCTTGGTTGGTTTTATGAGAATCCTTCATTTCACCTGGCTGGGTGAGACTGCTATTACTATATATACAAACCAACACCATGAAAGGCCAGGCACCATGGATATAAAGAAATGAAAGGCAACATCCTGATCTTCATGATGTTTTGGCTAAAGAGAAGGATGTCTGGAGGAAGATAATGTTTGGAAGATAGGAAGGAGAGAGTAACAGTGACCAAAGTCAGTTAAACCTAATGTGGAACATTCAGCCTTTCACCTCTCGCTCTCTATTCAGTAACTTATGAACACCATCTGTAAAATTTGTACCACCCAGTAGTTTTTGTGTGTTGTTGTTGTTGTTGTTTTTAATTTAGGAATATATGGAAAAGACAAGTCCCTCAGTGAAGAAGAATAAAAGTAAACCCTTACAAATCACATGACCAAATCATAAGAAGCTTGGTTTGACAATCCACCAGAGAAATAAGCTAATCAACCAAGAGTTATTTCCTTTGTACTACTGCCAACTCACAGTTTGTAAAATAAGCAGGGTTTTTAAAACTTAGAGAAGTACTCAGTTTCATTTCCAAACCTCATATATGATTCTGATTACATAACTCCTTCCGTCTTTTAAATGCAGACCAAGGGAAAGGATACTGTTACGAATGAAAAATTGGGCAAAGCGCCTCTAAACCACAGCTACATGCCATTCAAATAAAGTCAAAGCAGTTTTCGACCCACAGGATTCATTTAATTTTTAGTCCATATAATAGCCTGCCTTCTCTATTAGCCATTAATCTCACTGGGACTTCAAATTCTAATTATGCAACTAAACATTAAGAAAATTTAATCACACGAGCATGCCATAATTTAAGGCAACCCCATCAATCTGAAAAATCCCTACCTACCTCATATTTTAGCTTACGTTGAACGGTGCCATTGTGAAGTTTTTCATTATTCTGAAAATGAAGTAAAAAAAATCCCTGTATTAAATTATAGCATCTTCATCAAGGAGAAAAACTGATTTGATTAGAAATATTTATGGGAACAAAATTCTAAAGAAACATACTTGTCATTTAACAATGACAACCCTTCTACAGAATTTATATTCCAAGGTAAACATGACTCTATTGATCCATCTGCCATCTCTGTAGGAGAACTGAACCATTTATTCTCAATCTTAAAATTCTAATAATAATATTAAAAGCAAGATTTCATTAGGATACTTCTTATGTTGGCTGGAAAGAAATGAAATGTTTCTATTTTGATAAAAATCAACTTGTGGCAAATATGTACCTTCTCAAAGGCAAAATTATATTTCTACTTAAGATAATTTATCAAGCAAATTAAATACTTATGGATATTAGTTGTATTTCTAGAAAAAAAAGAAAATGTTACATGTAGACTTTTTATAACTCAAACAAAATAAATAAAGTATTTTAGGAAACTTTACATCCACTTAAGAATTTCTCCCAGAAGTTTAAAGTTACTCTTCATCTAATACTATTTATGAACTATTGGGCTCCACTCAAGCAATCCTTGATTTTTCTAGGACATTTGCATCTCAATATTCTCACTGACAAACAATAATAAAAGAAAACAACATCAGCACCAAGAACTACTGAAAGGTCACCTTGAAAACGATGGCTCCTTCAGCTCACCTTTGTCATAGCTGCAGCTGTACTGCTGTCACTGCCAATCACATGATGCAGATCCTGAAGACGTCTTTGGACTTCTTCTTCAATGTAAGCACTGACCCTGGAAACAGTGGAGATGGGGGTACTTGAACACATCTAACCACGCAGAACATCTGTGATCCTTTTGTTACTATGTCCTTCATAACAGGCAACTTTCTCATTTTCAATGCCAAACATAACAACTCAGGACCTTAAACATTATTCTACTTTCTGTGAAATCTAGTGCTGTGTTTACAATCTGTGTTTTCTCCAAATGAGAGAGAATTGGATGGAGAACAGAATCTTGAGAATGGAAGAGAGACTAAGTGATCCCATCCAGCTCTCTCTTGGATTTCCTTAGTGGAAGCCATGCTACAAGGATCACAGACAGTGGTTTCTGAGTATCCATAGCCTGTAACCGTGGGTCACTCACTCTGAGACCCGACACTTCACTCGCTGAGCCCTGGGTTTCTCACAAAGAAAATGGTGATAGTTATTAAATCACAAAGTTATGTAAGAGTATTAAAAGTAA